GGAGTTGTCAATCACAAAGCTTGCCATGCCCCCAGTGATGCTAAGAAAAAAATGCCCCTCCCAGCACAGGTACTAAAGGAGCAGCACTAGTGGCTTATTTTATGAAAGCAGTAGTTTACAAACTGTCCAGACCAGCAGCATCTGGGAACTTGTTAGAAATGCAAATTCTTAGGCCCCGCCCAAGACCTCCTGAATCTAGGGGTGGGCTCGTCAATTATTGCCGTAAGTGGTTCTGATGCACATTACAGTTTTACCTGAACTTCTAATTATAGCTGATTGGATCCAGAGATGACTGACTGACTGAAGGGCAGCTAAACCCTTGGTAGGTTCCCCTTGGCTTATGGTATGCTGTGGTGTGAGAAAGCTGCGCTGGACAAAGCATGCTTCCTCTTTTTGGCAGTTGAATGGGGAAACAGTGATACCTTGAGTGTTCACAGCACAGCTGAAGCTGAATGAGGCTGTGCCCTAGTGTTGAGGCCAGAAAGGGTCAAGAGTCTGCTGGAAACAGGAACTGTACTGTGACTAAGCAGAAGCTGTGAATCAGGAAAAAAAAAAAGACATGGAAGAGACAGTGAGGAAGGCAAAACAATTGGAAGAGAAGAAATAAGTGAGCAGGGATGGCAGACCTTGGAGAGGTGGGGAGTGAAGCAAGAGAGCACCCAAGTGAAGATCCAGGTCATCTGGTGGAGGTCCCTGGAGCTGCGGCAGACTCTCCAGGGTCTGGTTCTGTTCTTAACAGTGTTCCCGTCCCTTCTGAAATAGAATCATTCCATTTTCTGCAGCTCCTGTTCTCTGTATGTACCCTTAAAACTTATCTCTCTTTTGCATTTTCTTTAAGGAAGACTTTTTTGGGAGGAGGGAGGGTAATTTCAAGGAGGGAGAGAAGTAAAACCAAACCAATGAACAAGAGAAGAAGAAAACAAACAAACAAAAATGAAAAGTTCTCTCTATATAAGTTTTTCTCCTTGGCTACAGCAGAAATTAGCAAATCTAAAAAGCCTAAATTTATAGGCTTTCCAATCAGGTGATTTCAGCACACAGTCACTCTGAAGAATGTCTAATGGAAGAACCACAGGGCACAATGTTTCTGCCTCTTTGGATTTCTCATCTTTACTGTCTAAATATACAGAGGAAAGTGTTCTATTTAAAAAAAACCACTTTGGAATGCTCATTTTAGATATTAAATAGGTTGATAATCATAATAACTCTTGGGATATTCCTATGTGTCAAGCAATGTTCTAAGTATTTCCCATGTTTTAAGTTATTTAATGTCAGTTCCACAAGGGCAAGACTTTTCATCTGTTTTGTTCACTGTTGTATCCTCAGTGCCTGGAATCATGCTTGGCAACTAGTCGATATTCAATAAATACTTGTTGAATGAATTAAAGTGGATCTTCATGAAACCCTTGGGTGGAGACGCTGTTATATCCATCTCGCAGATCCTCTTGGCTGTAAAGATGGAAAGTCACATCTTGAATGTCTTTGGGAGCATAGCACTGTCAGGCAGGAAGCTTCTGCTGAGACAAAGACCCTGACCTCCAGGGTTGATCTTACAAATGTTTTGAAGCACTGTTCTTTGAGGAATGTTGATGTTCAGATTTAATCCTTTCACAGTCTGAAGGTTTTTATTCTTTCAATGATTCATTCATTTATTCAACAAATATTTACTTAGCACTTATACATACCCTGTGTTGTTCTAGGAGGATATAGCATTGAACACTAAAGATGTTGTATCTGCCCCCATGGGGATAGAGATAAACAAACAAAATAATTTCACATAGTGACAGGTGCATGAAGACAATAAAAGAGGTGATGTGTCAGAGCATAATGGGGAAGGATTGCTTCATATTTGGCGGTCAGGGAAGGCTTCTCTGAGAAGGAAGCATTTGTGTCAAGACCTAAATGACCAGAAAGAGCCAGCCATGAAAAGGGTAGAGCATCACCCTTTGGAAGGAGCAGCAAGTGCAAAGAGCTTGTGGTGGGATTGTGCTGCTGTGTTCTAGGAGCAGTAAGAATAATACCATGGCTGGAACATAGTGAGCACAGCACAAGAGATGGAAGATGAAATTAGAGGTAGGTAGGGGCTGGATCATGAGGGCCTTATCAGCCATAGTGGCAGCCAGGAGGTGTGTGTTCAGATCTCCTTTCAAGAGTAAACCTACTGAGGGCCGGCCCCCGTGGCTTAGCGGTTAAGTGCGCGCGCTCCGCTGCTGGTGGCCCGGGTTCGGATCCCGGGCGCGCACTGACGCACCACTTCTCCGACCATGCTGAGGCCGTGTCCCACATACAGCAACTAGAAGGATGTGCACCTATGACATATAACTATCTACTGGGGCTTTGGGGGGAAAAAATAAATAAATAAAATCTTTAAAAAAAAAAAAAAGAGTAAACCTACTGCAAGTACAGTCAACTGACAGCCTCTAGCAGCAGCGCTGGTGGGATCAGCCACAGTGTTCAAACTGAGGACACGCTTTCCTGGGCAGCTCCAACCAATGACTGAACATGATGGGAAGACTAAGGCTTGGCCATTTTGGCTCAATGCAAGACTCCTCAAATGAGCAATCTTTACTCTCAAGCTTCCTGTCGGACTGGCCTAGACAGCACTGTATTGGTTCTTCAGAGAAACAGAACCAATAGGATATATACATAAAATGGGATTTACTATAAGGAACTGGCTCACGTGATTATGGAGGCTGAAAAGTGCTACAATCTGCCATCTGCTAATTAGAGATCCAGGATAGCCAGTGGTATAGTTCCAAGGCCTGAGAGCCGATGGTGTAGATTCTAGTCCAGGTCTGAAGGCCTGGGAACCAGGAGCGCTGAGGACAAGAGAAGATCAATGTCCCAGGTCAAGCAGTCAGGCAGAGAACACATTCAACCTTCCCCCACCTTTTTGTTCTATTCAGGCCCTCAAAGGATTAGATGATGCCTGCCCACATTGGAGAGGGCCATCTGCTTTAACCAGTCCACCAATTCAAATGCTCATCTCTTCTGGAAACACCCTCACAGACACACCCAGAAATAATGTTTAACCAGATATTCAGGCAGTCTGTGGCCCAGTCAAGTTGACACATATAATTAATCCTCACAAGCACCAGGGTCAGAGGCTTTTCCGGCCCAGTGCTCTTTCCTGCCTCCTTCCTTTCACAGGTGTCAGACCTGAGTTGCGGTCTGGAGGCTTTTGCTGCCTACTCCTTATTCCCTCTCCCCTTTAGTTTTCACATGTGTTATCACCAATAAATCTCTTCCATTTCTAATTACATCTTGGCATCTGTTTTGGAAAGGAACCACAGTGACACAGTTAATACTAGAAGTGGTCTAACAAAGCAGGTGATAAGATGGCGTTTGGGGACTAGGTCACCCACTGCTTGGCTGGCAATGAGGACCCGTCTTTGAGTGGTATGTGGGGTATGGATAGTCCCTGGCACAAGGTGGCAGCCCAGTTGCTAAAAATTTTACTGGTAGGGCCGGCCTAGTGGCATAGTGGTTAAGTTCGCACACTCCACTTCGGTGGCCTAGGGTTCTCAGGTTCAGGTCCTGGTGCGGACCTGCGCACTGCTTATCAAGCCATGCTGTGGCAGGTGTCCCATATATAAAAAAAAAAAGTAGAGGAAGGTGGGCACAGATGTTAGCACAGGGCCAATCTTCCTCAGCAAAAAGAGGAGGATTGGCAACGGATGTTAGCTCAGGGCCAATCTTCCTCACCAAAAACAAACAAAACAAACAAAACAAAACAAAATTTTACTGTTGGTGACCTGGGAAAATATCCACGTGGAAAGGAATGTCTGTGCCAATGTGCTGATTCAGGAATTTGAAAAATCTAGAGGAAAAATGCATCCAAGGATAGTGGGATAGGCTGGGTATTACCAAGTTGCATTGACCCCCTACAGAGGGATAATGAGAAACTGAGGGCAGTTAACGAACAGTTAAAAATTATGTGTGAGTGGGGCCGGCCCCGTGGCTTAGCGGTTGAGTGCGCGCGCTCCGCTACTGGCGGCCTAGGTTCGGGCCCGGGTGCGCACCGACACTCTGCTCATCAGGCCATGCTGAGGCGGTGTCCCACATACAGCAACTAGAAGAATGTGCAACTATGACATACAACTATCTACTGGGGCTTTGGGGGAAAAAAGGAGGAGGATTGGCAATAGATGTTAGCTCAGGGCTGGTCTTCCTCAGCAAAAAGAGTAGGATTGGCATGGATGTTAGCTCGGGGCTGATCTTCCTCAAAAAAAAAAAAAAAAAGTTATGTGTGAGAGCCAGAGGGCCTCTTTGGTAGCTTGCGAAAAGACCTTTATGTACTGCGGTGCAAGAGCAGACCCAGCTGAGTGGCAGGCTGATGATCTAATTGTTAGAAGCCAGAGCTCCCCAGATGTTTGGATGCTCAGCTGAGGCAGGTCTCCCATGCTCAAGTCAGGGATCAGGTTGGAAAAACCTGGGACCTGAAAGGTGGGGCGGGGACATCTAGGTGGATGCCCCTGAGAAATGTGGCTCTGCAGAATTCTCTGAGCCCCCAGAGCCTGTGGAGCTGGCCTATCCCTCCAATTGAGAACTAGCTGTTCCCCCATTTGGGAAGACACGGCAGAGCCCCCTCACTTACAAGGCAACAGGTTCCCCCTACCCCACCCCCATGAGCTGCCCCCACCTCCTCTGTGGCTGCCAGGCTATAAGCAGGGTTAAATCTCAGTATAGCCAAACTGAAGAAATGTTGGGCCTCATAAAGGAGAAAAGAAATTTTACTCTAAAGGAGATGCAAGAATTAGCTACATGGTGGAGAAATTAGAACCCCTCGTGCATTGTTGATGGGAATGTAAAATGGTACAGCCACTTTAGAAAATGGTTTGGCAATTCCCTTGAAAGGTTAAACATAGAGTTAACATATGAGCAAAGAATCCCCCTTCTAGTGTATACCCAAGAGAAATGAAAACATATGTCCATGCAAAACTTGTACAACGAATGCTTATATGCAGTTCATAGCAGCATTATTCATAATAGCCAAAAAGTGGAAACAATCCGAATGTCCATCAACTGATGAATGGATAAATAAAATTTAGTATTTTGGCCATAAAAAGGAAAGAAGTACTGATTCATGCTACAACATGGATGAAACTCAGAAACATTATTCCAAGTGAAAAAAGTGGTCACAAAAAAGTCACATATTGTATGATTCCATTTATAAGAAATGTTCAGAATAGGCAAATCTATAGAGACAGAAAGTAGATTGGGTGTTATCTAGGGCTGGGTTGAGGGAATGAGGAGTGACTATTAATGAGGTTTAGAGTTTCTTTTGGGGGTGATAAAAATGTCCCCAAATTAGATTGTGGTGATGGTCGAACAATACTGTGACTATATTAAAAAAACATATACCTTAAAAGGGTGAATTGCATGGTGTTGGAATTATTCTCAATAAAGCTCTTTAAAAAAAGAATTAACTATCATGTACTAGCCAGAGCCAGGGGAGTAACCCTGGACTAGGACCATGTGGGTATTTGATTAAGGGTCCACAATGTAAGACTGGATGAGCAAGAATGTATTGAGTTAGAGGGACTCACTTGGGACATGGCATTTCATACCTTGGCAGGGACCCCAGGGAAAGGGACAAACTCACTGCCAGTGTGGCTCATAGAACCCGGGAGAAAGCAATGGCTCACTCTGAATGAAGGTGAAACACATGGGTTGCTGATGCCAATGGAGGAAAGGACTTGATAGTTCAGGGAAGTAGGAATGCTGTTTGGATTTATTCTGAGAGGCTAGAAGACTATGTTCCATGGGAGGGCCCAGAGGACACACCAATCCCCAAGGCCACCAGGCATGCACGGGGCAGAGGGGTGCTGGCGTCACTCGGCAGGCAGTTCAGTGGAGGCTTGTCTCTGCAGGCCGGGGCTGACAAGGAGAGGCCGCCACCGAGGTGGAGCCTGCTAATAGTGATAGAGATGACAGGGGCTGGGGCAATAGAAGCCAGCTGGTGGCACTTACCACAAGCAGCCAGGGGGCTACAATTTGTGTAACAGGGGCAAGGTAGGAGGGGCAGCCAAGGAGACTTGACCCACAAGGCACATGTAGGTGGTAAAATAGATGAGTAACCAAAAAGGGTGCTGCTTAACATCTACAGTCAGAAGGAGGCTAAGGGTGGTCAGCCCATTAAAAAGAGTGGCTGTAGAGCCAGCCCTGATGGCCCAGTGGTTCAGGTTCAGCGTGCTCCGCTTTGGCAGCCCAGGTTTGGTTCCTGGGCATGGAACCACACCGCTCTCCTGTCAGTTGCCATGCTGTGGCAGTGGCTCACACAGAACTACAAGGACTTACAACTAGAATATACAACCATGTACTGAGGCTTTGGAGAGGGAAAAAAAAAAGAAAAGGAGAGGAAGATTGCCAACAGATGTTAGCTCAGGGCGAATCTTCTCCAGCAAAAAAAAAAAAAAGAGAGAGAGTGGCTGTAGACGTTGGCAAGCTCAGCCGACACTGTCCCCAGTCTCAGTGCTGTGCTGGATATGGCATTGTTACTAGCACAGAGTAGTGAGGCTTCAGGTATATAGTGTGTCACCATGGATTCCGCAAAAGTGTTTTTTTCCTGTCCCAATCAGGAAGAAGGATCAGAAAGTGTTCACATTAAAATGGAACAGGTACAATATTACTTTACAGCAGGGGCCAAATCCCCCCAACAGTTGCCCATAGCCTGTTTTCCTATGGCCCCTGAGTTAAGAATGGTTTTTACATTTTTAAAGGTTTGTAAAATAACAATAACAGCAAAATCAAAGAAGAATATGCAGTGGAGATCATATGTGTCCCACAAAGCCTACAAGACTTATCTGGTCCTTTATAGAAAAAGTTCGTCAACTCCTGCTTTACAGTTTTGCCCTAGGGCTATGTCAGCGCTCCTGCCCTCTGTCATATTGTAGTTTGAAGAGAGCTGGACTAAACTATCTGGCTGTCTTGCAGAGTATTAAAATGCTCTCTTACATTGATGATATTATGTGTTTTTTGTTTTGTTTTTGTGGGGATGATCAGCCCTGAGCTAACATCCATGCCAATCCTCCTCTTTTTGCTGAGGAAGACTGTCCCTGAACTAACATCCGTGCCCACCTTCCTCCACTTTATGTGGGACGCTGCCACAGCATGGCCTGACAAGTGGTGCGTCGGTGCGCGCCCGGATCCGAACTCAGGCCGCCAGTAGCGGAGTGCGCGCACTTAACCGCTACACCACGGGGCCGGCCCCTGATGATATTATGTTAATCAGATAGGATGAGCTGGCGGGGGCTAGCACATGGGAGGCCTTTGTAAGAAACATACACTCCAGAGATGGGAGATAAACCCATGAAGATTCAAGGACTTTCCACCTCAGTAAAGGTGGGTTCAGTGGTCAGGTCTGTGCTGAGGTATCTTCTCCAAAGGAAAAGACAAAATGCTGCATTGTGCATCCCTTACTACAAAGAAGGAAGCACAAGGCCTTTTCAGGTTCTGGAGACAACATATTCCACACCTAGGAATATTGCTCCAGCCCATACACCAGGTGAGATGGAAGGCCAGGTTTGAGTGGGGCTAGAAGAAGGAAAGGGCTCTACAGCAGATCCAGGCTGCGGTGCAAGCAGCCTGCTGCTTGGGTCATACAATTTGGGAGCCCTTCTGGTGTTGGAGGTATCAGTGATGGGAAAGATGCAGGATGGAGATGATGGCAAGCCCCAGTGGGGGAATCATAACAGTAGGCTCCTGGGATTCTGGAGCAAAGTCATGCCATCCACAGTGAAGAATTACTATGATGGTTAAATTTCTGTCAACTCAACTGGTCTATGGAGTGCCCAGATATTTGGTCAAACATTATTCCAGTGTTTCTGTGAGAGTATTTTTGGATGAGACTAACATTTAAATTGGTAGACTGAGTAAAGCAGATTGTGCTCCCTAATGTGGGTGGGCCTCATCCAATCAGTTGAAGGCCTCAATAGAATGAAAAAGCTGACCCTCCCCGGAGTAAGAGAGAATTCTTCCTTCCTGACTTCCTTTGAACTGAGACATTGGCCTTTTCCTTGCCTTTGGGCTCCAACTGAAACAGGGGCTCTTCCTGGGCTTTGAGCCTGCCAGCCTTCTGACTGAAATTACACCATCAGCTCGTCTGGTTCTTGGGCCTTTGGACTCGGACTGGTACTTACATCATTGGTTCTCTTGGGACTCCAGCTTGCCAACTCTTCCTACAGATCTTGGCACTTGCCCACCTACATAATCGTGTGAGCCAATTCCTTATAGTAACTCTCTTTCTCTATATAAATATATACACATCCTATTGGTTCTGTTTCTCTGGAGAACCTGACAAATACAATTATGCACCTTTTAAAAAATAGCTCTTGATATGCTACTGGGCCCTCACAGAGATAGAATGGTTGGCTACAAAACACAAAGTAACCATGTATCTAGAACTGCCATCATTAGATGGTTCTGTCACCAAGTCCTAAAGTGAGGCAGGCTCAGCAGCGATCCATTATAAGATGGAAATGCTACATTCAAGATCAAGCCTGAGCAAGACCTGAGGACCTGAGTAAGCTGCATATAACCACCATTGCACCAGTGCCCCTCCCTCTGCTCACATCTATGGTCTTGTAGGGGGTCCCTTATGACCAGCAGAAGGAGGAGGAAGAAGCCCAAGCTGGGTTTATGAATGGGTGGGCCCAGGATGAGGATGCGACCCAAAAATGGATGGTGACTGTGTCACAGCCATTCTCAGGAGTGGCCTTAAAAAACAGTGGCAATGGAGAATCTTCACAATGAACAAAGTTTGAGCTGTGCCTTTCCTGCTTCAAAAGTCTCAGCAAGAACCACTGCCTGTGAACCTGCAGAATGCCTTATCCACAGGTGTATATTCCCACACAGCATAGCATTTGACTAGGGGATCCACCTCATAGTGAAGGAGTTGCAGAGGTAGATCATGATCATGGGTTCCAATGGTCTTATCCCATCCCATACCAACCAAAAGCAGCTGGCCTCACAGAGAGCAGGAATCACTCAATGAGGGCACAGTGGAAATGCCATCTTGGAGGCTATCCTCTGCAAGGATGGGGGTATCTCTAAGGATGCAGTAGGTATATTCAATCAGAGATGTCTATACGGCACTGTGTCCCTAAGTAGGAAGAATATATGGGTTCAGGAACCAAAAGGTGGAAGTAGAAGTGGTCCCACTTCTTATCACTCCTGATGACCCACTGGGGACTTTGTTTTTCCCATCTCAGCAAATCTGGGCTCTGTAGAGTTGGAGATCCTGGTCCCCAAGAGAGTGTCCTCTTTCTATGGGAACAGGAAGAGCTCATTGAACTACAAGCCATGGCTGCCACCAGGGCACTTTGGACTCCTTGTGTTCAGGGATCAGCAAGTAACACGGGGAGTCTCTAACTTGGCAGGGAAATTGACCATGAATATCAGGAAAAGTGTCAGGTGTCTTTTTAAAACTGTAATGGCACTGCCTTTCACTAAGAGTAAAAGCTTACCGGATCCTACATAATCTGGCCCTCTGTTACCTTTTGGATCTCCCTTCCTTTTTCTCTCTCCCTCACTCTACTGTAGCTACACTGGTCTCCTTGCTGTTTAGTGAACACACACAAGTCACCTTCAGGCCTAGGGTCTTTCAGCCAGCTTCATTTGATGGAAGGGGCAAGAAGACCAGCAGAAGGACCTCAAATGGGAAATGGAGGGTAAATTGCCCTAATTTATGTAAAGTTGATTGCTGAGCTGTACTTTTAACTCTTATTCCTAACACAGGCCTCCTCACCTAGAGATTTCTCATCAATTTTTTCCACTTACTCATTGCTTAGTGACCAATAAGAAATAACTTAATGGACTGAGAGAGAAGGTTGATACCGCCTGGAAAATTGACAAAATTTCCATCTTTGATAATGATTGCTAATAATAGCAAACTTTTTTTGAGCTACTGTGATATGCTAAGCCTTTTACATACTTTATCTCATTTAACCCTCATAAAATCTCTAAGAAGGTGCTATGATAATCCCTATTTCACACATGATGAAATAGAGACTTAGAAAGGTGAAGTAATTTACCTAGGTCATACCTCTCGTTAAGTGGCCAGCTTTAAACATGGCTCTTTCTGAGTCTAAAATCTGTATTATTTTCTCAACAGTTTGCTTCCCTTTAAGAGAAAGAGGTCATGATTACTGCCATTCATTCATTTATCCATTAATTCAATAAATATTCACTGAGTAGTGTTTATTACGTGTCAGACTTTGGACTAATTTTGCCGACACAGTGATGAATGAATAGGCAGGACCCTTGCCTTCATGGAGCTTACTGCCTAATAGTGTAGCAGGACCATGAATCAAAGGAATTCAGGTCTCAGAAGGGCAGCAGACACAGAATATGCTGAGATTGAACCTTTGCAATGAGACTAACAAAGATTATCTTTGACCTAGACCCTAGAATCTATATTGTACACAGTAAATATATAAAATCTTGGTTAAAGCATTGACCTTCTAGCCTCATCAATTATAAAATGAGTATGGTAATAATAGGTTTCTTGTCAAGTGGTTGTGATCTCAAATGGGAAAATGTGTGAAACATCTTGACAAACTGTAAAATAGTCAACAAAGAGGAGGAAAGGACTTTTTTTTATTTCACCTTTTTTAAAAAAATTGAGATATAATTGACATATAACATTATATTAGTTTTAGGTGTACAACATAATAATTTTTTTTTTTTATGAGGAGGACTAGCCCTGAGCTAACATCCAATGCCAATCCTCCCCTTTTTACCTTGAGGAAGACTGGCCCTGGGCTAACATCCATGCCCATCTTCCTCTACTTTATATGAGATGCCACCACAGCATGGCTTGCCAAGCGGTGCGTTGGTGCACGCCTGGGATCCAAACTGGCAAACTGCGGGCTGCCGCAGTGGAACGTGCGCACTTAACCACTTGCGCCACAGGGCCGGCCCAATAATTTGATATTTGTATATATTGCAACATGATCAGCACTTTTCTGTATATTAAAAAAAATTCAAACATAAACTAGGGAGAATAGTACAATAAACACTCAAATACCCATAAACCGGTGTGGGGGATCAAAATTCGCCACCTCAAAATATGTCTCTTTACCTTGATTATTTTCAAGAACAAAAGACTCTGAAAGAAACTTTGACCTCCCCCCCACTAAATGCCTAAAAGAATTTAAGATAGAAGGCCTGGGGGTTGGCCTGGTGGCATAGCGGTTGGGTTCACGAGTTCTGCTTTGGTGGCCCGGGCTTTGCTGGTTCCGATCCTGGGTGTGGACCTACGCACCACTCATCAAGCCATGCTGAGGTGGCATCCCACATAGAGTAACTAGAAGGATGTACAACTATGACATACAACTATCTACTGGGGCTTTGGGGAGAAAAAAGGAACACTGGCAAAAGATGTTAGCTCAGGGCCAATCTTCCTCAAAAAGCAAAAAAAAAAGAATTCTTACCTTTAAAAGAAAAAAAAGATAGAAGGCCTGTCCCCAGGACAGGCCATCACCATAGATAACTCTGGGTATGGATAGTCTGGAAGGGTCCTTGCTAAGCCCATTCTTATCAAAGCTCTGAAAACCAAGTAAAAGTAGAAGTTATCCTTTGTAAGAGACATTTACATTTGTAAGGAAAATCTCCATTTGTAAAGGTATCTCCCTCTCCGTAGCAGCAAGAAGGGAGGATGACCATATCTCTAGAAACTCTTATCAATGCAGAAGGCAAGGACTTAAATCTGCATATGCTTTTCTGGCAATCTCCCATAGCTGACTCCCCACACTCCCAACATCCTCCTTTGTCTTTAGCTGAAGATAGTATTTAAGATGAGAACCTCCACCATTTTGGTGAGCTGCTCAGTTTTTCCTCAGTTTCTCCCATGTATACATGTTACTAAACTTTGTTTGATTTTCTCCTGCTAACCTGCCTTTTTAATTATTTGTACAGCCATAAGAACCATAAGGGAAAGGGCAGGGGAGAGGGATTCTCCGTCTTCCCCTACACCAGCTTCAACAATGATCAACTCATGGCCAATTGTGCTTCATCTCTGGCCACCCCTTAATCACCTGTATTTTGGGAAGCAAATCCTTGACAGCGTATATTTTATCCATATATATATTTCAATACATATATCTCAAAGGAAGGGATTCTTTTAAAAACCATAACCATAAATATCATTATCACTCCTAAAGAACTAAAAACAAAATTGATAGTAATTTCTTAATTTTAGCAAATATCATAATTTGATTCAGTGGCCATATTTCCCTGATTATCCAAAAAATTTTGAGATCAGTAGGTTTGAACCAGTATTTAGATAAGGTTCCTATATTGCAGTTGGCTGAGATGTCATTTTTAATCTATAAGTTCCCGCTTCATCTTCTTTTTGTTCTTGTTTTGCTTTTTTTTTTTTCTTTGCTGAAGAACTTGGGTCCTATAAAATGGTGGTTCTCAAATTTTAGCGTGCATTAGTATGCATTAGAATCATCTGGGGAACTGGTTAAAAACACAGATTGCTGTGTCCTGTCCCCAGAGATTCTGATTCAATACTGCATTTCTAACAAGTTCCTAGGTGATGCTGCTGGTCAGGGACAACACTTTAAATGAGAGCCCCTGTTGCACATATTCCATAGTCTGGATTTCTCTGACTGTATTCCTTGGTGAAGGGTCCTTAAACACGTCCATCTTCCATTTCCTTTCCCTAAGGGAAGCCTATTGAATCACATACAGTATAGCATAATGGTTAAAACTCAAGAGTTTGAGGCTATACGTTATAGACACTGAGACCCAGTGCGGCTGGATCTAAATCTCGTTTTTGACACGTATTTGCCACGTGACCTTGGGCAAGTCACTTAACTGCTCTGTAAACCCAATATTACAGGGACGTTGTGAGGATTAAATGAGATTCAAAAAGTGAAGTGCTTACTTAGCACAGTGAATGCAACATAGCAAATGCTCAATAAATTCGATTATAATTTTTTCAACCAAGGAATAATAATGGGGTGCATAGTCTGTAGAAAGCCATGAATTTTGTAGGGTTTTGTTGTGTTTTTACGTCAACAGAGCCAAAGAGGAGCTCTCTAAAGGAGAGGTACCTGGAGACAGACGAGCTGGGGGCAACTCTGAGGACCACTTAAGTCCGCCTAGGGTCTGGCCCCTTTAAGGAGGGCGGGCCACGTGACCCATAGTCACGTGGCTCGCGGGACAACATGGCTGCGCCCGCGCTAAGGCCGGGTCGTGGACGCTGCCCCGGGCTAGGTCTGGTCCTCTTGCTGCCTCTGCTCTTGCTGCTAGGCAGGGCGGCAGGGGGCGAAGAGGCCGGAGCCAGCTCGGGCGCGGCGTCCGTCGCGGGGTCGTGCGGCTGCGGCTCTCCGCAGCGGCCCGGAGCCCATGGCAGCTCGGCGGCCGCGCACCGATACTCGCGGGAGGCGAACGCCCCGGGCCCGGTCCCCGGAGAGCGGCCGCTCGCGCTCACCAAGGTGCTCTCTCGATTCCCAGGAGAAGGGTGGGGGCCTCCAGGTTTCTGGACAGGATTGGGATGGGCAAGGCAAAGGGTTGGCAGGAAGGCAAGTAAAGATTATAACCGCACACCAAATCGCGCACCTGCTGATCCGGTTTGATGAGGAGTTCCTCCTCCCTCCTCGCTCCCCAAAACGGCTGGGTCTTGGGGCTCAGCTTAATTCTGAGCATTAGGAGTTTGGTTTGAGGACAGTTGTCCCTCTTTTTCTTACCTCCTACCTCCTATTTCCTCCTCCCTCCACCCTGTCTTCTTGATGAGCTTCTCAGAATTTTAAGTTAGATTCAGGTTTAAGTCGTGGGTTCCTCTCTTATGTGTGAAGGAATCAGGACACTGGGTCTCCACATTGTTGCATACTTACTCGTAGTCTCTTCTAATAGACTTTGCTTTTTGACGACAAGGACGTGTCTTATTTATCGTGCTATCCCCAGCACTTTAGCACATAGGAAGGACTAAGTCAACAATAGCCTTATTACTATTATTTATCTGTGCCTGGCACAGTGCCTCGATGTGTTATGTGCGAGGATATATAAATAACATTAATAACAACTATTACATACTTGATTCAGTCTGTCTACCAAGTACTTTGCATGTTGGTATGATTGTGGAAACAAACTAGAACCCAGGTCTTCTGACTCTTAAAGAATTGCTCCTTCTTGTATACCTAGTACACCCTTTCCTCCTCCTCCTTCCATCTTGCTTTTCTTTCCTCTGGGTTAATTCTGACCAGTTTTCAGGACTTAGGTGAGAGGTAACTTCCTCGGGCGGGCCTTACCTGATCTTCTCCCCTTCTTTCCCATTCAGTATTTACACATGCTGTCACAACAGTACGGATTAAGTCTGACATAACAATTATTCAAGATGCTTGTCTGCTGATGTCTCTCCCCAGCTAGGCTGTGAGGGTGGTGAGGCGTCAGGACAATAAATTTGTGTCTCATGTATAGAGTGTTAGGAGGTTGGTAGCTAGTCTTCTCATTGTTTCTCCATCCTGTGTAATTATTGGCCTTTTAAATTTTTCCTGTTGTTCCTCAGAGGATGACCTGCATTGTTAGTATTTATCTTTTGTGTGGTGGTGAGCCCTGGTTACTATTGTAGAGTGTATTGGCAGTAATTATTTTAATTCCTGTGTAACTTGCATGGTAATTGATAATCAGTTTCTCCCCTCTTCTAAAGAGAGAGCCTTGTATCTGTTTATCTGCTTTGTCACTAACAGAGTAGCTGTCTTACTTGCGTGTACACATTGGTCTGTCGCAGAATTTTGCCTAGAACCTTCTGGCCAGTACTGAACATTCCTCTTTTTTTTTTTTTTTTTTGTGAGGAAGATCAGCCCTGAGCTAACATCTGATGCCAATCCTCCTCTTTTTCTGAGGAAGACTGGCTCTGAGCTAACAAACATGCCCATCTTCCTCTACTTTACGTGGGACGCCGCCACAGCTGGCTCCAGAAGCAGTGCATCGGTGCGTGCCCGGGATCTGAACAAGCGAACCCAGGGCCCCCACAGCGGAGCGTGCGCCACTGGGCCAGCCCCTGAACATTCCTCTTTTTAAATGCTCCAACTTCCTGTTGGTTCCAGAATAGGATGTGGGTGGCAGTATCTTTTGAATCACATTTATAAGATATACATTTTTTCATCCCTTTAGAGTGTTTTTTTTTTGTCTAGACTGAGTATCATATGGGTCATCTTTGGCTAGTTCTTGCATTTACTTTCTATAATGTTTGGAGGCATCCCAAGCTATTAGTAAACTAGCGGTTGCTGAGAACACAGCCCACAGCCTTCTAAGACTTTTAACCTAATGGTTGAACTTGAAGTAGCTTTATTATGAACACAAAAGACCTCACAGCAGGCAGTTCTTTATCTCTCTGTTTTCCTTGGTTTCAAAGATTTTAGTTCATGTACAGATGACTTTGGTCTAATTCTGACACTTAGCCATTTATTCTAAATTCAGGAAGCCATTTATTCTAAATTCAGGAAGTCCAGTATTATGGGAGAGGTACATGGTTGTAGTGAAAGCCCTTTTTCTCCCTTTCTTTCTTTTATTTTTAAAAGACTTTAGTTTTTTTAGAGCACTTTTAGGTTCATAACAAAATTGAAAGGAAGGTACAGAGATTTCCCATTTACCCCCAAAACCCACACATGCATAACCTCCCCCATTATCAACATTCCTTACCAGAATGGTACATGTTACAACTGATGAACCTACAGTGACACATCATAATTACCCAAAGTCTATAGTTTTCCTTAGGGTGCATTCTTGATGTTGTACATTCTATGGGTTTAGACAAATGTGTAATGACATATATCTATCATTATAATACCTTAGAGTATTTTCATTGCCCTAAAAATCCCCTGTGCTCTGCCTATTCATTCCTCCCTCTCCTCCCCACTGGCAACTACTGATATTTTTATTGTGTCTATAGTTTTGCTTTTTCCAGAATGTTGTATAATTGGAATCATATAGTATGTAGCCTTTTCAGATTTGCTTGTTTCACTTAGTCATATGCATTTAAGGTTCCTCCGTGTCTTTTCACAGCTTGATAGCTGATTTCTTTTTAGTGCTGATAATATTCCTTTGTCTGGATGTACCATAGTTTGTTTATCCATTCGCTTACTAAAGGGCATCTTGCTTGCTTCTCAGTTTTGGCAATTATGAGTAAAACTGCTAGAAACATTTGTGTGCAGGTTTTTATGTGGAGATAAGTTTTCAACTCCTTTGGGTAAATACCTGGGAGCCTGATTGCTGGATCGAATGGCAAGAGTAAGCTTAGTTTTGTAAGAAATTGCCAAACTATCTTCCAAAGTGGCTGTACCATTTTGTATTCCTGCTAGCAATGTATGAGAGTTCTTGTTACTCCACATCCTTGCTAGCATTTGGTGTTTTCTGTGTTCTAGATTTTGGCCATTCTAATAGTGTGTAGTGGTATCTTTTTGTTGTTTTAATTTGCATTTTTTGGTTGACATATGATGTGGAGCATCTTTGATGTCTATATATCTTTGTGTTTCTATCAAGATCTTTGGCCCATGTTTGAACTGGATTTTTTTTTCTTATTGTTGAGTTTTAAGAGTTCTTTATATATTTTGGATAACAGTCCTTTATCAGATGTGTCTTCTGCCGATATTTTCTCCTGGTCTGTGGCTTGTCTTCTCGTTTTCTTGACATTGTCTTTTGCAGAACGGAAGTTTTTAATTTTAATGAAGTCCAGCTTAGCAATTTCTTTCATGGATGTTGCCTTTGATGTTGTATCTAAAAAGTCATCACCGTGCCCAAGGGCATCTAGGTTTTCTCCTATGTTCTAGGAGTTTTACAGTTTTGTGTTTTTCATTTAGGTCTATGATCCATTTTGAGTTAATTTTTGTGAAGGGTGTAAGGTCTGTTTCTAGATTCATTTTTTATATATGTGGATGTCCAGTTATTCCAGCATTTGTTGAAGAGACTGTCTTTGCTCCATTGTATTGCCTTTGCTCTTTTATCAAAGATCAGTTGACTGTATTTATGGAGGTTTATTTCTGGGCTCTCTGTGCTGTTCCATGGATATATTTGTCTGTTCTTTCACTAATACACACTGTCTTGATTACTGTAGCTTTACAGTAAGTCTTGAAGCTGGGGAGCACCATTCCTTAAACTTTGTTTTTCTCTTTCAGCATTGTGTTGGCTATTCTGAGTCTTCTGCCTGTCCATATAAACTTTGGAATCAGTTTGTTGATATCCATAAAATAACTTGCTGGGATTTTGATTTTGATTGGGGTTGCATTGAATCTATTTTTTCTTTGTTTTGTGTTTATTTAGTTTAATTCAACAAGTGTTTATTTGGCACATAGGATTCTGTCCTATGTCCTGGGCTTAAAGAAAAGAAAAAGACCTATGCCCTACACTCAAGACATATACCCTCTGGCGGGTCTCTCTCTCTCTGTCTCTCTCTCTCTCACACATAGACACACACACACACACACACACAATCACGTGTAAGCATCATTTTTCTATAATGACAGTACTATAGGAGGAATGTGTACAAAGCACTTGGAGAGGAACAAAAGATTTGTTCTTCCTGGACAAGTCAGGAAGTGCCTCAAAGAAAAGGTCACATTTGGCTAGGCTTTGGCGGAGCCAGTTTCGGGAGTTAGGGATGGAAGGGGATTGAAGGACATTCTGAGATGGAGAAGAGCACGGGCACAAACAAAGCAAGCACATAGTGTGTTCTGGGAAATGTGAGTAATTTAAAGTTTCTGGGGGACGTTTTCACAGTTTTTACTGTGACACTTTTCAGGTGTGAGTCTTTTTTTGTATTTTAATTCATTTAATGAGTACTTGGCAAGATGAGGGACGCAGAGAAATAAAGAGCTGGGCTTTACGCTCAAGGAATTTACAGTTTCACTGGAAAGTTATGGCAGTAAAAATTGTCTGGGAAACAATATAGATATTTTAAAATTTTACTTAAGTTCTCCCTGGTTAAAATATATACATTTCTCCTTGAGAAAATTATCCTAACAATTTTCTACACAGCTTTTTATTTTGTAACAAGATAGCAAAACGTTTTAATCTCCGTATATCTTTCAAAACAGTTGTTTGAAACGCATTTAGAATCATGAGATGATAAACTTGTATGTGTGTCTCTGTAAGTATAGGTGGTTTCAGACTTCATTTCCTGTCTGAGGATGTTTCTGATTGGGTAATGCGTACCCAGGTGTCAAGGCACGATTGAATGCCATCTCTTCCGTGAAACCTTTCCTCCAGGAAGAAGTAGTTTTTCTGTCCTTTAAATTCCCATAGCATTTTGTTGTTGTCTGACGGCAGCTTTATATACATATATTTATTTACTTTTTAAATTGAGGTCACACTGGTTTATAACATTGTATAATTTTCAGGTGTACATCTTTATATTTCCACTTCTGTATAGACTGCATCATGTTTACCACAAAAGTCTAGTTGCCATCTTTCACATGTGCCATTTACCCCTCTCACCCTC